CCTCTCCTGCTTTGAACCTTGCAATGGTTCCCTAGAGCTTCCAGGAGAAAACTCGGGCTGCTCATCCCAGCATCCACCTGGCCTGAAGTCTCCCCTCTTTTCCAACCCACATCCTTTTAGTGCTCATCCCTGCACCCTATTAATTTGGGATTCTCTAGGCCTAAATATCGGTTTTATTAAATTGAATAGGCAGCATTTTGATTTTTAAATAACACAGAGTGATACTTGCTCCTTTAGAGCATATATAACATAATTTCAAATTTACTATGAAAATTGTCTTTAAAAACATTTTTTTGTTGTGGTAAAAGTCATTTTTAAAGGAGAAATAATCCTTACTTAAGAAATGAGAAAGGAGCCAGCCTGATAGCCTGGCAGTTAAAGCTCAGCGCTGACAGCTTCAGCCGCCCAGGTTCGCTTCCTGGTCGCGGAAGCACAGCACCCGTCTGTCAGTTGCCACGCACTGGCGGCCCACATAGAAGAACTAGAACGACTTACAACTAGACTAGACAACCAGGCACTGGCGCTTTGGGGAGAAGGAAAAAAAAAGAGGAAGACTGGCAATAGATGCTAGCTCAGAGTGAATCTTAAAAAAAAAAAAAAAAGAAAAGAAATGAGAAGGGAAAAAGTTGTTTAAGGTCTACCATCTTTCTGCATTTTAATCAAGACTTGTGATGGAAGATGGGTGATGGAAGAGCTGAGAAGCCGGAGCATGCTGAGAGAACTGCAGGCAGCCTCTACAAGGTCCAGGTTAGAAGGATGAAGGGAGAAGGCCATTTCACCAGAGCTCAGGGTCACCCCCAGCGGGTGGAGCCACAGTGAGATACAGCAGCTATCAGAGATGCTGCCTTACAGGGCACAGAGGTCTCCAGAGTTGAGGAGACAGGGCTGAGTCTGGGGAGCAGGGCGGAGGACTGGAGCAGAGAGAGCCACAAAGAGAGAAAGCTGCAGAGGGGTCCCCTGGAGTCTTCAGCTGAGTACTGATCAGCACGTGCCTGTGAGGAAATCCAGGGAAAGAACCACCCGAAAGGGTTAGAGAGAACAATCTCCAAAGCTCACATAACATGCTGCACGAGCTAAAAAGAGAGAAAGAAAGGCCCTGGATTTTTTTCCCTTCCTCCCTCCCTCTAATCCTCCACCTGTGCCGCTCATCAGCTCGGTGGTTATCAACCTTGGCTGCACATAGGAATCAACTGGGCAACTTTACAAAGTACAAATGTCTGGGCACACCCCTGGAGAGCACGATGTAATCGGTCTGGGTGCAGCCTGAGCATTAGGTGAGTTTTAAAAGCTCTCCTGGTGAGTCTAATGGTTGAGAACCACTGCAGGAGAGATCAGGTCCTGAGGGAAGCAGCCCGCGGAAATCGGCACCCTGCCACGCAGGGTGAGGAGAGGATCTGAGAGCCAGTAGATCCGGGATCAGCAACTACGGCGCAGAGGTGGGTGGAATAAGGGAGAGGATGAGAAGAAGAAGAAGAAAAGAAAAAAACATAAATGCGATCTTCTCTAAATCCTTCAGTGACCAGCTCAAATTTGGCTGCCCCCGTGAAGCCTTCCTTGATTACCCCAGCAGCAGTTGCCTCCCTCTTATAATGCTGATTGCTACTCCTCCAATGATATTTCTCACGCGCTACCTCCCATGTGTGCTCAGCTGGGAGCCCAGAGTCTTGCTCTCTCTTCTAGGTCTTCCTGCTGTGCCCTTTCCCAAACTGAGTGGCTTGTTCATTTGGATACTTAGCTACTATTAAGTAGTAATTAATGGCTAATAATGGTTAACATATTACCCCTTTCAGCTAACATTTGCATGGCAAAACTGACCTTGAGTGTGAGAATTTCAGGGCAAGTCAGAATTGACTGAGTAGATTTTTGTGTGTCCCTTAAAATGTAAATAAATTTAAATCAAATAACACAGGTGACGGCCTAATATTGGATAGCAAAGATTTACAAATTTACAGATAATTAATTGCAATGTATTTTTGTCACAATCCTCCTAATGGCTGTTGAAACATTCAGCAAGGTGAATGTGCCCTTAAGATAAATTCATACTTCTAGTCAAAGAAGTCTAGGGGGCCAGTCTCGTGGCTGAGTGGTTAATGTTCCACGCGTTGTGCTTGGGCGGCTGAGTTCGCAGGTTCGGATCCCAGGCGTGGACCTATTCGACTCATCAGCCATGCTATGGAGCCATCCCACATACAAAATAGAGGAAGACTGGCATGGATGTTAGCTCAGGGCTAGTCTTTCTCAAGCAAAAAAAAAAAGAGGAAGATGGGCAACGGATGTTAGCTCAGGGTGAATCTTCCTTACCAAAAAAATAGAAGTCTAGTTAACATCTTTACATAAATTAGCCTAGAAATATATCTGCTGTAAATTCCAAAGTCTTGAGATTTCAAATAACAAGAAATTTACTTTTTTAGTAGAGATATTAAGCATTATTCTATTGGCCTGAGAAAGCCACTTTCCTGAGAAGGATAAAAATCTAAGGTCAAAATTAGAAATCATTTACTCTGTGCTTGTGTGGGTATAGGTGTGTGTGTGTTGTGTGTTTAGAGTGATAGAACAGACAGATCAGGTTATTCCCTGAAAAACTGGGCCCAAACTGTAGAACTGTTAAAATGCTAAGTGATTCAAAATTGGACATGCTATTTTAAAAACCTGTTTTCTGGTATGAATTTTTCTTCATTGTGAATCTATATAAAGAATTTGTGGGAAAAATCCACGTTTGATTACATTAAGATATTTCTAATTTTTATGGTAGTGTTGACTCCTAAAAATAAACTCCCGATAAGACAGTCACAAAATATTGAAAAAACATACACGCATACACAAGAGCCAGAGACAGATCCCTCCTTGCAATCTGACAAGGAAAACACGAAGACAATGAAGTCATAGGAAGATCATTCTCTTCATCGACTGTTTAACAGATGATATTCTTCCAATGAAAAGTCTACACTGTCATCGCCATACCTGCAAACCCCCAAACCTCAACCACCACCACCTGCCTGGGCTCCCAAAATTTTCATCAAAAGAAACACAGCCCTGCTACCTCAATATGTGGGCAATAATCTCACTACGGCTATCAGAACCTTTTAAAAGTAGTTAAAATAATATATTTTAATGAACAGAATTAAAATCTAAAAGAGGTGAATGACCACAAATTGATGAAATCCAATAGGCTCTTGGGAGCAACAATGTGACCACAGAGCTGCCTTCTTCATTATATCATTAAATAAGAAAAGGACGGTGAGTTTTGTACATAAAACCAGAAAATTAAGGTTAACTGAGCCTTAGGTTTTTAAGTAACGAGTAACTAATAATACTCAGGGAAGAAAAACAAGTATAAGCTCATGTAATTACCAAAACTAGTAGTAAACCTGCGGGGATTTTACCATGAAAATATATACCTCAGACAAAAGGCAGAGACAGAAAGGAAACTTCCTTTCTTAGCATGTGAGAAGAACCTACCAATTTCTTTGAAAATAGAACCTATACGCATACCCTGTACTGAGTCAACATTCAATTAATGCTACTGAGGGATTAAATAATGAATTCTAGGAACTCCAGTCACTGGTAAGACCTAACTTGTTCCCTTCTGGGAATAAATGGCTGTGATTCTAACAGCTGAGGTGAGATCCCACTCACACAGCCAAACTGAAGAGAAGCGTCTAATTCATCACGGTCGCTCCACACAGCTCAGAGAATGTAAACATGACCTGGACAAGGTTAAAGGACATTCCATGTCCTTACTATTACAGGACTCTCTTCAGACTTGTCCCCATGAACGTGCCCTGGGGACTGTGTAGGTCTGGGAACCATCCGCACAGTGCCCGACTTTGTTTAGTGACAACAAAGGGGTCAAAGATTTGAAAAAGAGAAAGAACAGGACAAGCCTCCCAAAGCAAAACCAAAACAAGCAAGAAAAAATATTCACAATTGTTTGGGAAAAAGAATAATGCTAGGATGAAACTTTAAATTAGAGAATATTTTCTTCAGTTAGTAAAAGGGAAATTAAAGAAAGATCAATGTTTCTCAAATCTTGTCTCATTCTGTTTTTTAGTTTCTCATAGAAACAGCAGATTTAAAGATTACCACATACACACAAACACACACAGTTGCTTTCTTTTAGTTAGGGCAACTTCATATTTTAATGACAACGACCTCAATAAAACACATACGCACACAATTTTAATGATAGGCATGCCATACTTTCCTATGACGTAAGAATGCTTAAGTCTGGCTGGTCTACATTCTAGAGCCAATGACAAAACAGAAAGACTTATAAAGAGCAAGATACTGTTCAATGATGTTCAGACAAATACTAATAGTCAAAGACATCACACAACATGAAACACTAGGCATTTACAGATTTTTTCAACTAAAAAGATTACATGGGAAATTTCAGGTAGAAGGAAAATTTTTAAATGTCCCATGTCCATGGCAGATAAAAATGCAGAGACTCATGTAATAATCAGGAAAAAATTACATAAGGATCTCCTCCACGTACTATCATGAATTAGGGATTATGGTGGATCACATCTAAGCTTTATTAAACATAATGGATATCTTTATACACCATGTATTCAAGGTCTTTCTGTGACAGCTAGTGGCTGAGAATAACTGAAGGCTGAAAAAACTTAATCCTCTTTATCCACTTAAGCCTTCCTTCATAAATGCCTAGGACAGGTAGACCCTTCAAGGTCCAGAGAATAATACAGCTCCCTAAACTGGTGCTCCTATACCTGAAAATATTTACTGTAAAAGTCTCTTCTTAGCACACAAAGAGGAAGCAGCATATTTTGTTGGTTTCTTTTAGACAATCCAACTAGGTTCACTACTTCCTTCCTTTTGTTTCTATTTTAAAGAGAAAGAGCAACAGAAAGCCCATGCCTACCTCAATCCCACCCCAACACAAATTATAACACCCATAAATGTCCTCAAAGGAGCTATAAACTAGGAAAAGATAAGGTTCAACTGCCGAGGGGCAGCAATAGTAAGCACATTCTTACCTGATATGGCCGATCAATTCAATAAGCTTGTGACTAAAAAAATAAGCTGTCAGCTCAGACACATGACTCAGGACTGAACAGACCCCAAAGAGCGTTGTAGTTCCATTCAGGTCTTCCAAGTGCCAGTAGAGAAAGGTGAACACGAAGCCGTATCCAAAACCCATAAACCAAGCCACGAACAACACCGAGCCGTACTGCACACTGCAGAGCAGTCTGATTAAGTCCCAAAAGTTGAAGGCCTGCGAGTGACTTGTGGTGGTTGGGGTCTCCTCAGAGGACTCTGTGGAGTTGTTCCTCTCCACCTGAGGGATCTCCACCTCTTTTCCTTTATTTTCATTGTTTTTGAAGTGGTTGTAGCGGAACCGGAACTGAGTAGCAACAATCAGGGCCATGGTCATGAGGACTCCAAAGACAATGAAGACGATCTGGTAGTTTCGGTACTCGGGGGGCTTACACCCCTTTCCATCGATGAGCACTTCCATGTGGGTGTAGTCAATCCCAATGCCCACGGACAGCATTGCCAGGCCCCAGCCCAGGGAGCCCCACATGCGCTGCAATCCATAGCGGTCTCTGTGTTTTCCCAGATACTGGAGTGTTACCGTGTCCACAATTGTGACAGAAGAGGCACTGAAAAATTCTCCTATTATGACAACCATCAAGATCACCAAGAATATAGCTTCAACTTCTTGTTGATCATAAACAAGAGTGACTTGGTCAGAAGGTAAAGATTTGGTGGTAGTGACAACAGTAGTGGTTATCTCCCTGGTTACACTTCCTGGGTGGGCAGGGGTTGCCGTGCTTGGGTTGGAGGTCAAGCCCATAACGTGGTCAGTAATTTCATCTGTTTGAGGCTGCAGAGTGGGTGCACTGGTCTTGTTTGCAGCTGTCGAAAAGATGACAGTTTCCGTGATATTGGGCTCTGCCTCTAACATCATTGGCCAACTGGAAGAAGGCAGGTTCCTTTTCTCACGCATTCTTGGTGACGTGGTAATGGAAGAGAGAAGGGAAGCATTCGTTGGCAGGACAGTTAACAGATGACTTGCGTTGGTGGGGCGAGCAGTGGGGGGAATCTTTGGTACACATCTCAAGGTAGCAGGTTTGACAAATCCGATGCCCAGGTTGAATAAAACCCAACACAAAAGAGAAAAGAGGAGAACAATTTTGCCTTTTTTAAAGCGATCTGCAATGACACCCCAAAAGGGGGCACTGCAGAATTCAATGAAGTATCGAATACCTACTAACAGTCCACTCTGGCTTGGTGACATGCCCAGCTGTTTATAGTACACAGGCAAAAGTGGGTAAAGAGAGCCATATGCAGAGTAAAAGAAAAAATAAAAGACCTTGGAAATCAGAAGATCGTTGTTTATTTTAACACAATGCTTCTCCATCCAGTCTATTTCCTCCTCAGGAACAGCAGCCGTTTCTGTGGAGGAGGGGGTTTCATTTGACGGCGCTTCTGGATCCCTGGAAATACCATTAAAGGGATCAGCAAGCACATATTTTCTCTTCTGTTCCTCTTCATCATCTGTTAAGATGGCAACTTTATCATCTGTCGCCATGGCTTACCACCACCATCAAAAAGTTTATGACCTTCCAGATTTTGACTGGTGATCTGTAAAGTAAAATTTAAAAGACACCTTAGTATGAAAATGGTAACATTTAAACATAGAGCTTCATCTCGCAGGAAACGGAGGAGTTCCAAACCATAGCAAAAATAATAATCGTGAGAGAGAAGTTTCACCATTTATCACTTGCAGTCACAAAATACTGATAAACAAAAATTCCTTTCAAAAAATCAAATACTCTTTGTGGCCAATGACTGACTAATTATATTTTCTAACAACAGGTTTATAGCTCAGGTTCTTCAATCTTTTCATTGATTCCTAGAGAAAATGTATAAATGATAGGGATTATGTCTAAACCAAATATAAAGAATTGAAAATAAATAGTATTTATAGTTTCTAGGTTTTCCTTTTCAAACAAATCCACTGCACTATGAAGTCTACAATTTTTAGAAAATATTGGTAGCTGAAACCATTCAGTCTCTAGACAAAAACAGAAATAAGCTCTTAACCACGACCACAGTATAGTGAGAGAGCAGGAGCCAATTGCACACTTGCAACTGGAGTTGGTCACTCAGCCATGACAAAGATACCCTGGTAAGGAAGTAGTCTTTTTGCTTATATTGCATACATTTCTCCAGATATGCTTTTACGGATTGCAGTTTAAGAAAATGTCAGAAAAAAATAGCAGATAGCATTTGCTGAGCACTTACTGATAGCATTTGCTGAGTGTCAGGCAACATTTATAGATTTTTATATGTATTAATTCATATTAATCACAATATCCCTACTATCTTCTCCATTTCACAGATGAGAAAAATGAGATGTGGTGAGCTTAAATAACTCATAAGTGGCAGAGTGAGGATTTGAACCCTGATATTATGGCTTCAGGACGCATGTTCTAATACACCACACTTAACTGCCAAATCTTGCATTATACATAATAAAATACTATTAAACCTTTTTATGAGACAGGGTATTTCAGATAACAGATAAGGAATATATCAATGGTATAAATTTACAGGAACTGTGCCACATTCTACCAGAATTTCCCTTTCTTTTATTCTACAAATGATCAAAGAATCAAAAGGTCTTACTTGCATCAAGATTTGTCAAGTTGCAATGAATGGATTCTGATGTAGGAAGCGTATTCACTAAACACTTATTAATTCCTTTCACCTTCTATACCAGAGAGACATAGCTTCACTTGCCACCCCATGGAACAGATCTTGCTCTCTCTTTTCCCAAAATGAATAACTTTCTGAAAATCATCCAGAATCACACTTATAAACATTTTTAAATCTCTACATAACTCCTAGGCAGACAATAAAAACACAACTTAATGAGGCCTCTGTAATCAGTCAATTCATCTTTTACCCCCAAAAGCCAGGTGTCTACATAGCTATAAGCTTTCAAATGTTCACGTGGATTTTTTAGATTTAAAAAGAATTTTTTACTTGAGGTAAAAATCCATATAACACAAAATTAACCATTTAAAGTAAACAACTCTGGAATTTAGAACATTCACAACGTTGTGCAACCACCACCTCTATCTAGTTCCCAAATCGAGTTTTTCTTAATGGTGAAAAGAAAAACCTTTTTTCTCCACAAAACTTGGAGGAAAAGCAAAATCCAATCTTTTGCTGCCCAGCTGAAAGATTTTCCTCAATGTTCTATACTTATTTTTCTTTCATCATTAGTGCCATCACCAACCAGGTCAGCAGCTCCAATTCCATTTCATTTCCTGAAAAGGACAATAATTCTCCTTTGGACTTATTTTCTAAATTAATCTCCATTTCTGAGCTCAAATCTGAAAGAATTACTTGTCGTTTTTAAAATGTATAAATCTATATTACACTTCTAGGTGAAGATGGCAGACTGAGCGCATCTGGTTTTACTCCATCCCTAAACCCACTAAGATGATCACACACACTTACTTTTTTAAAGTCACAATCCAAGCTAGGAAAATTAAAGAGCACCTAATAGCAACAAAATAAAATTCTGGAAGCCAGAATGTAGTTAGATAATTGGTAATTAACTTAGGAGATCTGAGAAAACTGAAACCTGGGTTGACAGTGGGGAAAGCCAAGAACTAACACAATTTATTACTCAGAACCCCTCAAAGGCTCACGGGTCGGCCATATTAGGTTTATCTGCAAGTAAGAGAGTGTGTGTGTGTGTGCGTGTGTGTGTGTATGCGCGCGTGTGTGTGTGTGTGTGTTTGTGTAACTGAGCCGGAGTGTGCTGTCAACATACAGTTGATTAAAAGTCTGAACCTCAACTCAAAATGCCCAAGCAATCCCCTTCTCCACTCCACATAGCTAGCCAAACAACTAGAGGTTCTCTCCTCTGGAGAGGACAAACAGAGGTTCCACAGTCATGGAGCACTAGGCAGAACTGAGAGGAGGGGTACCATACTGAAAACAGGGGCAGTAAGTGAACATACGCATCCTGGATTCTGAGCCCTGGCCCTGCCCCCAGCCTCCATCCCACTTCCCTCACTAGGTTCCCAGAGGCTGGGAAGGCTTTCACCCTCCAGGCAGGAAACTAGAAGGTTCGTCTCTGGAGAATCTGATTAGTCCAAGAGGAATGACCTCCAGATCCTGATAGTGAAGCCTCCTAAACTAAACAACCCAGTGGAATCACTCTCCACAGGAGTGCAGCGTCAGCAACCTCTGCAGCCCAACGTGAGCAGTCACCAAGAATTGGAAGACACTGAGGAAAGTCTCTTACACCAAAGATAGCCTCCAAACAGAAAAAAAAAAAAATCACTATGGAAAAAACAGAAGCTTTGGGAGGAGGCAAACACTTCGTAAATATATCAACTAATAACTTCAGAAACAGGAAAAAAAATGCAACTGTGAAACAAAAATAGAATAATATATATTTTTAAAGAAGGAGGAGGGGGGAACAAAAGGAATGCTTGAATGAAAAAGAGCTATGGAAATTTTTTATGGAAAACAAGAGCAATAAATGAAAAATTAAGAGATGATGTAAAAGAAAAATTTGAGGCAACGTCTTAGAAAAAAGAAGAAAAAGAGCAATAATAAACAGATACCACTACCTTACATCAAACACAAAAATCAATTCCAGATGGACTGTGTATCTAAAAGTAAAAGACAAAACAACTTTTAGAAGAAACATACAAAAATACCTTGAAGATCTTAGGATAGAAAAAGATTTATTAAATAGGACACAAAAAGTGCTAAGCAGAGGCCAGCCTGGTGGTGTAGCAGTTAAGTTTGTGCTCTCCAGTTCAGCGGCCCAGGGTCCCCCGGGTCAGGTCCTGGGTGCGGACCTGCACACTGTTTATCAAGCCATGCTGTGACAGGAGTCCCACATATAAAGTAGAGGAAGATGGGCATGGATGCTAGCTCATGGCCAATCTTCCTCAACAAAAAGAGGAGGATTTGGTGGCATATGTTAGCTCAGAGCTAATCTTCCTCAAAAAAAAAAAAAAGTGCTAAGCATTAAGGAAGAAAAAATAAATTGGACTATATTAAAATGAAGAACTTCTGTTCACAAAAAGACAACATTAAAGATTAAAATGGCAAGCCAAAGAGTAGGAGAAGGTATTCTGGTAAGGGTGAATGTTATATATATCCGACAAAAGAACGTATCCAGATATATAAAGAATTCTTCTTAAAAATCCATAGGAAAGTGTCAGGTAGCCCAATAGGAAAAATGAGCAAAAGACTTGAACAGGCACTTCACAAAAGAGCTTAAGCAAATAGTGAATAAATATACAAAAAGATGCTCAACTTGATTAAAGCGGGCAGTGAAAGCAAATTAAAACCAGAATGCAAAAATGCATTCTGCATTTGGGAATCCCCAAAATGGCTAAAAATAAATAAAACATAATACCAAGTGTTAGTGAGGATGTGGAGCAACTGGAACTCTCATAGACTGCTGGTGGGAGTGTAAATTCACACATTACTTCGATAACTATTTGGGAACAGCTATTAAACCTGAGTGTGTACCCTATTAAAACTACTAGATATGTATTAAATAGTAATATATTTGCCAAAAGACATCTACAAAAAGGTTCACAGAAGAATTCTAATAGCCCAAAACTGGGACCAACCTGTCTATAGCAGAATACACAAACTGTTATATGCATACAATAAAATACTATACAGCAGTAAAATGAACAAATTAAAACTACATGCAATGACAAAGATGAATCTCACAAACACAATAAGGACTGAGTGAAACATGAAGCAAAAATGTATATACTATATGATTCCACTTACATAAAATTCAAAAGCAGGCAAAACTAATTTATGGTATGAAAAGTCAGGGTAGACTTCTGCTTCCGAGAAGATGAAGTAGACATACTTTTCCCTACTGCTCCTACTAAGTACAACTAAAAATCTTGGACATTACATATAAAATAAACACTGAAGACTCTGAAAGGGAGACAGAAGAAGGCAGCCCGGTTAGCGACCTTGGTACCCAAAGAACAACATGAGGATGAGTGAGCTGAAGAACTCAGAAATACAAGTGAGTGCAGAACCAAAAAAGAAAAAAAAGGCCTCTTTAGCCATAGGACCAGCAAAGGGGCAGCCTACAAAAATAGAAAACTTTAGATAATAACTGCTGTACTCCAGTCAAATACCACAGAAAAAAAATTTGTGGCCCCACTTCCACCCCTGCCAGCAAAGGCCAAATGGAGAGCCTAGACTTCCACCCTCACCAGGCTACAGCAGGGCACCCCAACTCCTCAGCCGAGGTGGTGTCAGGGAAGGCGAAGCAGGGAACTTGGACCTTCATCACTGTGAGGCAGTAATGAGGCCATATCGCCACAACAGTGTCAGTGGAGGCCACATGGGGAGCCTGGACTGCCAAACCCACCTGTCAGTAACAAGGTACCCCACCCTTTCCCCATTGGGGTGGTGTCAGAGGAGGGCAAGGGACAGTCAGGACTTTTAGCACCACCCAGCAATAACAAGGTCACTCCCCCTGTCCTCACTGAGGTTTCAGTAGAGGCCACATGAGGAGCAGTAATGAGGCACTCTTACCCCTCCTAGACAGGGAGGTATCAGTGGAT